TTTTTTGTTGGTTAGTCAAACAATTTTAATTGTGATGAGTGAGAATGTTTGAAGTGCTTTATCATCAAATTTGGTTTATCCTATAATAATAATCGTGTCTTTCAGCTGATGCGAAGGCCTCACTTTTTATTCGTCCAGCTTTCTCCTGGTGACTTTCTATCCACCTCTATTCTGTTTTATTGCTAACAAGTATCATTTTATTAGAGTCAATTTTGTTTAAGGTATAGTTGTGTGCTAAATGTAGGTACTTTTCTCATCAAAGACTTGTTATGCATATCTATTCTAGTTTTTTTTTTTTTGTGGAATTTCAAAATAGGTTTTTTTTTAATTGCTCTTAGGTATCCTCCTATTGAAAACAGTTAAAATACAATTGGATATGTCTAAATTGGTCAAATGCTATTTAAGGAGGCTTTTGGTGAAAACTTAAGGACTTGTTTGCTTTAGTTTATTTTATTAAAAATACTTATATTTTTTAAAATTATTTTATGAGTTTTTATAGTATTTGTTTAAATTTTTGAAAATAATTAAAATAAAAAAAAGCACATTCTTGATTATTTTAAGAAGTTATTTTTGAGTAGTTTCTTAAAGTAGTTTAATGCGGTAAATAAGAGAGTATTTTAAAGAAATGTGAGATATTATAAAATTTTAAAAATAATATAATAAAAAATTATTTTTATAAAAAAATTAAGGAAGATATTATAAATTTATAAGTAATTAATTAATAATCACTTTTTTGTCATGAAAATCAAACACAATAATATTTGTTTTTTATAAAATTTCTATAAAATAAATTTCTCTATAAAATTTTTAAATTATTTATTTTTTAATCTTAAACAAATGAGTCTCAAATCTTAATGAAGATAAAAAAATATAAAAAAAATAGAAAAATACAAAATATGATGAATCAATAAAAGAGACTAAAATGAAAGCTAATTTGGTGGGCGAAGCCATTAGGCTTTGATGGCCCAAATATTCGCCCATAGTTTTTTTTTTTGTTTTTTGTTTTTAAATGATGGCTTGTAATTTGTTATGAGTTGCATTTATTTATTTAAGAAAATATAATTATGAATTCTTATAGTTTTATTGAATTTTACTTTTAGTCCTTATTCTTTTTTAGTGTTTTTAATTTTTATAGGGACTGAAAAAATTAAAAACAGTAAAATTTAATTATCTGAATAACGAATGTTATCCAATCTCGTTGAAATTATAGGGATTAAAAATATTGAAAAAAAACTATAAGAACTAAAAAAAAATTTATGAAATTATAGGGATTGATGATTGTGTTTTCTAGGTTAAGAAATTCAGTTCAAAGTACTTTTTTTTTTTGGCCCAAAGTTAAGCTTTTAAATTACAAAATTACCTTCAATGGCTCACTCTCTTCGATGAAGTTTATTAATTAAAGAATATTTCTTAGTTTGTTAAGAGTTTGCTTTGTAGGAAATATTTAAAAAAAAACAAAGGATATTTAAGAGGAAAGAAAGGTCTTGTATTAAAAAACACAAGGAAGGTTCCCATAAAAAGATTGGAGAGAGCATAATTTCCTACACGTGTTGATGGGAAATTAATGTAGGTGTATAGAGAATTCATGTAGATTGTAGACTGGTTAAAAATCAGCCATTAAACATGCACCTATTTCCCATACCGTAGGAAGGTGTTGAAACTTCAAAGCCACTTTCACAGGGCATCCGAGCATATCCCTCGAGAATTTCCGTATTTCGGTTAGTGAGATTAAGGAGCAGGAAGTATTTTGGTTTAGGAACACTTGGATGCTTTGATTGCGAGATTTTTCGGGGCTGTCGATGCTGATGGTTCAGAGACAGAAACTTTGAACTTAGACCATCAATTAGAAGTCATTCCTTTTCGCTAGTAAAATTTATAATCAGTCGTGTCAGAGATTACAAAAAGGGAGAATGGCATTGCAAGCTTTAAAAATAGAGAAAAGTGCACTGCAGGTTTAAGAAATTTTGATAATGTATTGCCGGCTCAAGGCTTTTGCTATAATTTTTCTTAAAAATAAAAGTATAATTTTATCCTTAATCAAAATGAAAGAAACGAATTGAAAGTGGTGGAATGATCAACTTGATACGCATGAACATTTAGTTAAAAATTTATGAATATTGTGTTGTGCATCTATGGACATTGTATTGTATATTGTTTTGCATAATTTGTATATTTTACTAAACTTACTAATCAATGGACACATATGCACCTTGTGTTGAGAATTCATGAACATTGTGTTGAGAAACCATAAATGTTGTGTTATACACTCATGAATATTGTGTTGTACACACTCTGCATGACTATTTTAATTAACATACAAATCAACTGGACATGAATCGATATTGTGTTGAGAATTCATGAAAATCGTATTGTGCATCCATGGACATGGTGTTGTATATTGTCTGTATAATTTATACATTTTTTTAAACCTATAGATCAATTTAACATGCATGAACATTTAGTTGAGAATGCATGAACATTATACTGTGTATCCATGAATATTGTATTATACATTGTCTGCATAACTTGTATATTTTATTAAACCTACTGATCAATTGGACACGCATAGATATTGTATTGAGAATTTATGAATATTGTATCTGTACACTTATGGACATGTTTTGTATATACTCTGTATGACTCGTATATTTTAATTAACCTATAGATTTATTGAATATGTATGTATTGTGTTGATAATTTATGAATATCATATTGAGAATACATGATCATTGTGTTGTGCTTTGTGGATGAGAGTTTCACTCAAGTTTTGAGTTTTCAAATCACACAATACTTTCATGCCAAAAAAAAATTGCAACAAGGGTCTCTGGATTTGCAGTGCATTATTAAAATTTATTACATTCAAAGTGTAATTTTCTATTTTTTAAGGGCATGCAGTGTGATTCTCCCTTATAAAAAAAAAAAAAAACCAAAAGTACATCTGTACTTTGATTGTGCATTTTATTTTTAGCTTCTAATTTTATTTTATTATTCTCAATTCTTTTCGTTTGAGCCAGGTGTAATGGTAGCTCGTATTTTGAAAATGCACACAAGGACCATGATATGGTATTGATTAAATTTAATTTTATTGACACATACTTAATTCTGTTAAACCCTTTGTTAACGTGCACTTAGGGCTTGTTTGTTTTCATTTTAAAATTATTTTTTGTTTTTAAAATACAAAAATTTAAAAACTTTTCTGATTAAGTGTTTTCAATTTAATTGTTTCTAAATTGTTTTTATTTTTTATCTTTTTAAAATAGAACAACCTCAAGTTGTTTTCATTTTAATTTTTTTTCTTTTCAGAATACATTACAATTACTTTAATTAATTTTTATCATAAATCATCACCATTAACCTCTTATAATTATCATTATCAATTTATTTTTTAATTCTAATTTTTTTAATTAAATAAAAAAATGGATTTTAATTTTATTTTGTTTTAAAAACAATTTCAAAAATTGTACTACAAACCAATGTTTAAAAATAAAAAAAATAAAAACAAAACCAAATAAGCCCTTAGTCTCTTACTTTCCTCGGTAGCATTCTATTTAATCTAAATATACAATGAAGCTTCTTTTAAGTCCCCTTACCTTTTATTTTTAATTATACCTAGTCAATTTATTTTTATGCCGGCATATTTTTATTGTGTTAGCAAAGGATTTATAGAGTTATAGTGAAATTAACTTCATCAATACCAGCTTATGACCGTTATATTTAAAATTAGAGATTAAAAGTTTTAAACGGATCAAATAAAGGGACTAAAAATAATAAAATAAATATTGGGACTAAAAACGAACATAGTCAAAAGTATATGGATCTATCGTTGTATTTTTTATAAACAATAACCTCTGAAGTTTGGTCCTTGTAAATTAAAAAAAAAGATTGTTTAGGTTTTTTTTTAGTATGTCACATTTTATTATATTATTCATTCATGTATTATTTTCGTTTCTGCTGAATATCAAAGTATAGAATTTCTTTCTATCTAATACTAAACTATAAACATTTTTTTAGGAATGAGATTTGTGAATAATGCATTTTATCATAGATTTTGTTATATATCGATAATAGATATTTCATAAAAATTAATTAACAATAACTCAGTGTTTTAAAGTATGGCAATTATGTAATTTAAGAACAATTTAAAAATGTAAAAAAAATAATAGTAATAATTAACATAATAAGAGAGTGCTATCCATACGTGGATAGACGTATATATCACTCATTTGAATTATAAACTCAGAATTATTATTCAATTGTGCCCATCACACATGTTATGTTTCTGGGCATTGCTGGGGAGCATGACGCCGATGAAGATCACTGACATTGAAGTTAATTATTATTGTCATGGTCACAGGTGTTTTACTTTTTTTTAAATTAATTTTTACAGAGCATTAAGATGATGATGGTGATGATCGCAAAACATCTTTAAAGTTGTCAACTAAAAAGTTACTGGGATAAAAAAAGTCACTATATCATATACAAAAATTAAAGCAAATGTAAACTTATATTATAGTTGGCTATGTTATTGCTATCAACTTTAAGGCAGAGAATACGAGCTCATCATTGTCAAACGCAGTGTCTTATGGTATAATAACTTCAAAGATATTATTATTGCCAAAGCCCACTAACAAGACAATGATCTTTTCCCTTCTTTGATTTTTAAAAACAAGGAGGGAAAAAACAAATTAGTATGATGCTTTTAATAGTTGTTTTAAAAATCATATTTAACAAAGTTAGGTATTGACAATCAACGCTAGTGGTCAAAGAAAGTGTCTGGATAGCACAAATCCAATTCCAGGAACATGTCTGGAAAAGTCTTTAATAGGACGTAGACCATAATAGCATACTTCAACTCTGCCCATTTCTCACGTTATTTCCTATTAGACTTGCTCCAACGACTTTGACGCTCATGAACCAGAGTGATTAATAAAGAGGCCAGAAACAAGCCTTGCAAGGTTATAAGTTATTTAATTTGGGGATCACTTAGTTCTGTGCTGAGAAAATAAGTAAAGATGGGTGTGGTGGTGGCATTACTATTATGCTACACTTCTATTACTAGTGCATCTACTACCTTGATGAAAGCAGAGGAGAAACATGCTTTGCTTCAAACCAACTGGTGGAATCTTAGTATTACTCCCTACAAATTCTCTGACCCTTGTGATTGGCCAGAGATATATTGCAATGAGTTTGGAAGCGTTGTTGAGATGTATTCACCCCAAATCACTTCACAGCACCCTCGACTAGTAGATCTCAACTTGACAGCATTTTCTTATTTAGAAGAACTTAAGCTTTCAGGAATGGGTTTGACAGGCATGATACCAGTTCAAATTGGAGCTCTTCAACATCTCAGTTATTTGGACTTGTCTCATAATAACCTTATTGGTAAGTTATTTCCTACAGTCCTACTCTTCCCAGACTTATCTCATAATAACCTTACTGGTGACAGGTACTGTACCAATTCAAATTGGAGCTTTTTAGAATGGGTTTGCAAAATTCAAAAAATGTAAGAAATAGTAGTATAATAATTAACACAATAAGAGATTGATATCCATATGTGGGTAGATGTATATATCACTCATTTGCTATAAACTCATAATTATTATTCATCACTACAGAAGTTTGACTTCAGCCAATTATATACATTTATACATTTCTCTCCTCACATAAATTCTAAATTTAATTATTATTAACTGGTTTTCCTGTTCCAGGATCTGTTGTTCTTTTATCTTCGTAAACTTCAACACGTTTGACTGAATTTAACTTTAATAGTCAAAAGCTTTCATTATTTTCAAAACGGACAAGACTAATTCTATTGTAAGTCATTTCCTTATCTTAAGGGCAAATGTTTGATTATAATGTCATTGTTACTTCACTGAAGTTTCCGGATAGCATGCCGTGACATTTTAAATCTGTATATTTAAGAAAGACTTTAGTGAGTGATTTAGACAATTTTATTGTTTCTAATTATTTATGTGAATTTGAAAAGCCAATGAAAATATGAAAAAAATAATCATCTTCTTAACCTTATTATCTTTGCAACTTGTGCATATGATCCCATCTCCCATGTCAAAAATGAGAATGACTATTATATAAAAGTCAATCTTCCTCGTTTATCTAGTGGCAAAGATAGGTCACAGAGGGGCTTAGCTTGTTTTGGCATTTTATGGGGTATTATGTATGGCCGTGATGACTTGCGAATAAATTATATTATTACTACCCCACTTTCACGTTATTAAAATTGTAAGAAAGCTAATTATAGAAATAAAATTAGAAAAATCAATAAATATTCTGATTAGATGTTTTACAAATAAAAATATTTTTTATTTTCAGAGGTTATTTTTGCATCCTCCGTCTCAAATATTTTATTATTTCAAAATATAAGACAATTTAATAAAAAATAAAGTTTATTAATGATAATTTTTCAATATTACATTTTAAGAAGTTGGAGAATTGAAATGATTGTAGTGTAATGATTAAATGTATAGATTTAAGTTAACAAAAAAAAAATATAGATTTAAAGTTATATTTAAATGAAGGGTATTTTTAAAATTTTTTATTTTTATTTTAAAAAATAAGTTTATAAAGTATTATTATTAAACTTTATCGATATGTATAATCTTGTTTTAAATTATCTTAATTCATGGGCTAGCTTTTTTTTTTTTTGAAAAAAAAAATCCAAGTCCAGTTGTTGCTCGCTTTGACATATACTTTACAAGATTCTAAATTCAAATTGAACGCCCCAGTGTCCCATATGAATTCAATCTTCCTGGATCTATATAGAGACACCACCGTTGCTTCACTCATTTGGGGATCACCAAGTGTTAAGAAAATAATGAAGTAAAGATAGGAGCGATAGTGGCACTACTGTTATGCTCTGCTGCTATTACTGGTGCTTCTCTTGTCATGGTAGTAGTGGAGAAGTGTGCTCTGCGTTAGACCAACTGGTGGCATATCACCGACATTTCAAACCCTTGTGAGTGGGATAGTTCGGAAGCGTTCTTGAGATATGGAACCAATAATGATTTTTACTCCACACCACGAAACCCTTTGCCAGCATATCTCAACCTGACTTCATCTCCCCATCTAGAATATCAGTTGCTTTCTGGAATTGGTTTGATGGGGTATCATTTCAATTCAAATAGAAACTCTTTAAAATCTTATTCGTTTGGATTTTTTTTATAATAACCTTACTGATAAGTTATTTACTATTCTTACAAAACTCATTGAATTAAAAAAGGTAGTATTGGCCTAGAAGCAACATAAAACCAATTAAACTTTTTGATACAAAGACCAATTAAACTTTATATGACAGGTATTATTCCAATTCAAATAGGAGCTCTTCAAAATCTCTGGCATTTGGATTTGTTTCATAACAATTTTACTGGTGAGTTATTTACTACTCTTATAAAACGCATTAAATTAGAAAGATTGTATTCGTCTAGAAACAAGTTAGAGTTTGAAACTTGATATAATGTAGTTTGATGGGCACTATTCCATCTCAAATAAAAGCTCTTCAAAATCTTATTTATTTAGATTTGTCTCATAATAGTTTTATAGGTGAATTATGCAGTAGCCTCATTTAATTTGTATTTGATCATGAATAATTTGTAACATTTCCAACTAAAAACAATGGGTTTGGCAGGTACTATTCCAATTCAGTTGGAAGCTTATCTTCAACGTGTTAATTATCTCAACTTGTCTAACAACAATATTACATGTGAGTTACTTTCCATCCTTATTAAACTATAAAATTAAATAAAAAAAAGAATATATTGAATATATTTTTTAAAAGATTAAAATAGTTAACATATTTTTAGTTAAAAAAACTTATAAAATCAATCAAAGTTTTTTTTGTTCTATTTTATAATGTGTAATTCTTCTCACTCTTACTTCTTATTTCAAAATTTGAGTTTCATAAAAAAAAAACTCCTTTTAGACCATAATATAAACCATTGTTAACTAATTTTTGTTTTTTTAAAAAATTAGTTAAAATCTTGATTTTTTAAAAATTTTCACATTTTTTTTCAATTATGCCTTTAAGTGTAATAAACATAAAATTTGACTCATTCAAAACATTCTTATTAATTACTTAATAAAGTAACGCCATAATTGAAAAAAAAAGATAACACCTACACAATGCCTTATATCTTGGACCAAGGAAGATTTATAGAAAATACCTTATATTTTGATTAGGAGGAGTAGTCATTTTCAAACTTGATGATATGAATAAATCAAATATAAAAATAAATAACAGACTGCCCAATAAAATAACCATGAGAAAACATCAACAATCTTTTGTTTGTAATGGGAGAAACTCCTGCAGCGAAAGTTTCAAAGTGATCATATGGTACGCTTTTGTAATTTAAATACTATAATAATGGCCAACTTTCGAATATCTAAAAGACTATATACTCATTTAATAATCACTTCCACTAACTATTATAATGTGATGGCATTAATTATTTTCTTCACCAATGCTGATGCTAAAGGGGAGACAGCAGGGAATCAAAAGCGTGCACTGCTTCAGAGCAAGTGGTGGAATATTAGCGATAGTGGATCCAACTACCACTATTGTGAATGGGACGGCATATCCTGTGACAACTTTGAAAATGTTGTCAAAATTAAACAACCAAGAATCCATTTAGAGCGGCCTCGGCTGACAGATCTCAACTTCACTGCATTTCAAGAACTAGAATATTTGATTCTTCGTGGAATGGGGCTAACAGGTACAATCAACACCTCTGATAGAATCACGTTTCAACTATCTGAATTTTTCTTACAACCACCATACTGTATGTTGCCTTTATTCTTGCAACTCTTTAAAATAAGGTTATCCTTACATAGACACATAGATCTTTTAATGTGAACTTTACCTAATAAAATAGACTTGACAGGTATTGTTCCATCTCAAATAGGAGCTCTTCAAAATCTCATCTATTTGGACTTGTCTCATAACAACCTTACTGGTGAGTTACCTAGCTCTCTCACTAATTTGATTTGTATTTGATTTGCAACTCAAAGTAATTGATCGGTTTCACAAGTAGCTTTCCAACTCAGATAAATAGGTACTATTCAAAAATCTCACTCAAATTGATTTGTCTTATCACAACTTCACCAGTGACTTACCTTTCAGTTTTACTAACCTCGCTTAATTTGTATTTGGTCATCAATATAGCCTAGAATGTTTACAACTTAAATCAATGGGTTGCAGGTAACATTTCAACTCAGATAACAGCTCTTCAACATCTTCGCTATCTAAACTTGTCTGATAACAATATTAGAAGTGAGTTACTTTCTATCGTGACCAAACTATAAATTAAAGGGAAAAGATATATTGAAGACATGTTTTAAAGGATTAAAATATTTTGCATATTTTTAGCATGTGATGTCATATTATTTTGTTCTCCAATGCTAATGCTACAGTGGAGACGGTAGAGAATCAGAAGCGTGCACTACTTCATAGCAAATGGTGGAACATTAGTGATAGTGGCTCCAACGACCATTATTGTGACTGGGATGGCATATTTTGCGATGTCTTTGGAAGAGTTACTGAAATTAACCAACCAAGAATCCGTTCACGCCAACCCCGGCTAACAGACCTCAACTTCATTGCATTTCAAGAACTAGAATATTTGAATCTTCATGGAATGGGGTTAACAGGTACTTCTCCATCTCAAATTTGAGCTATTCCTTATCTCATGCTTTTGAACTTGTATGTCTTACAATAATCTCACTTACCATCCCCCTCCAACCTTACATAGAATTGCCCAGTTTGAATAGAAACAATCTAGTTGGAGCCATTCCTTCGGCCTTGGATTTTATGTCAAATCTCAAGTCTCAAAATCTTATATTTATGCACACATTTATTCACTATGCAGGTTATATCCCTTCTTCAATTTTCAATCTGACAAACCTAGAAGAGTTTGATGTTTCTCAAAATCAAATAATTGGTGGCATACCAACAGAGTTTGGAAATTTCCATTCTCTTACTCGTCTTAATCTCTCCCGCAATAAGCTAACTGGAAAGGTTCCTTACCTTAAGAACCGTTTCTATTTTCACGTTGATTTGAGTCACAACAAAATTAATGGAGAATTACCATCAGAAATATGCACTTTCCCATCAAATTGTAGCATTGATTTGAGCTACAATAATATCACTGGTATTATACCAAGAGAACTTGGTATGTATGCATGCATCAACTTATCATATAATATTTTGAGTGGATATGTTCCAAGAGAAGTCTATAGCTCTTTTCCTCCAGATGTTTTCATTGGCAATAAAGGAATACTTGGTTTAGAAAAGATCCGTGATTCTTCCAAAGGTCTGAAGATCATTATTCCTTTGTCAATATTTATTTCCATCATATTATTTGTGGGTTTGGTCTTGATTGTATCATTAAAAAAGAATAGGAAATCCAAGATTGAGTCGAGTGAAACAAAAAAAGGAGATTTGTTTTCAATATGGAATTTTGATGGTAAAATTGCATATGAAGATATCATTAAAGCAACAAAGGACTTTGACATTAGATATTGCATTGGAACTGGTGCCTATGGAAGTGTTTATAGGACAAAACTTCCAAGTGGCAAAATTGTAGCTGTGAAAAAACTTCATGGAAGAGAATATGAAAACCCAACTTTTTCAAAGAGTTTTCACAATGAAGTGAAAATGCTAACTGAAATTCGACATCGCAGTATTGTAAAGCTTCATGGCTTTTGTTTGCATAATCAATGCATGTTTCTTATCTATGAATACATGGAAAGAGGAAGCCTTTTGTATGTTTTGAACCATGATGATGAAGCTAAAGAGTTGGATTGGAGCAAGAGAGTGAATGCCATAAGGAGGATAGCAAATGCCTTGTTCTACATGCATCATGATTGTGCTCCCCCAATTATCCATCGAGACATAACAAGTAGTAATATACTGTTGAACTCAAAGATGGAGGCTTTTATATCTGACTTTGGCACAGCAAGAATCATTGATCCAAATTCATCAAACCAAACTCTTTTAGTTGGTACTTATGGTTATGTTGCTCCAGGTTAGTTTTTCTTATTCTACTACTTCTCTTATTATGTTGTGTTTTATTTCCAAAATTACTTACCTTGGGAAGGAATATAATACATATTTTCTTTAATTTTAATCCATTGCAGAGCTTGCATACACCTTAGTCGTGTCTGAAAAATGTGATGTGTATAGTTTTGGAGTGGTGACATTGGAAACAATCATTGGTAAACATCCTGGAGATTTAATATCATCTATGTCAAAGGCCTGAAAGCATTTTGTTAAAAGATGTAGTGGACACACGTCTCCCACTACCATCAAGACAAGATGCAAGAGATGTGATTCTTTTGGTCACAATAGCAATAGCATGCTTGAATCCATCTCCCAAATCTCGACCAACAATGCAGCAAGTGACTCAAAGGCTATTATTGTCCAAGTTGGAATCATTAGCTATTCCTTTCAATGATATCTCAATTCAGCATCTAGTGAATCAAGATATACAAATAATCTAGTCTTGTGAAATGCTAGGGCATTTGGCTCTCTATTTGCTTGGTACCTTTGATTAAACTTTTAAGGACTAGCCTCAAAGTCTAGAATTGAAGTATGCCTTATGTTTAATTTCTTGTAGCTGATATTTCTCTATAAACCAAAACCTCAACCCTTTTGAGGTTTCGCCAAACCACCCCTCGTGTACATGTCCACATTCCCCCCCAACCCCCCAAAAAACTTATGTGTAGTGTTTTGTGTGTATATTTGGTGATAGGAAATTGAGATTACAAAGCATATATGGTAATTAAAGAAAAATTATATATATATATATATATATATAAAAGAAAACATAAATATTTCAATATATTCATATGTAATTTTAAAGTTTTGCATATCAATTTTTCATGGCATAAAATAATCAATTATCATGCTTGGGATAAAATTTTATTCAATTTTCTTCACAATATAAATTTTCATTAAATAAGTAAAAAAATTCACATTCCCCCTTATCATGATGGGAACGTACGTCTTTATAATTTTTATAGTTGAAAAAGTTATAAAAAATATTTACTAATTTTTTTCTCAAATATCGTTTTATGCTTAGTAATTAGGTCAAGTTAAATTTTGTTACTACCAAATACACAAAAATATATTTTGAGGGCCTAAAATATATAACTACTTTATTTTTCTAAGGAAAAAAAATAAAAAACTCCCTCGATCCCTTCTCCCTCATCATCGCCATTGTGCATATGGGGGTCAACTTTAATTAAATTAATTGAAATTAATTATTATAAAATTGAGTATTTTCTTGCATATGAATTTACTTTTATTATTTAAATTTTGTTAAAAAATGAGTACAAATATAAGAATCTTAGTTACAAATCATTGTAAATGACCTGAGACTTGCATGTGTTATTTCCAACTTAAAAATTTGCAATTCATTTTTCACCAAAATTTTTGAGATCTAAAAGATTGATCTTTTGGGACCTAAGTGTCCTCTCCCTCACTTTTTTTTTTCCTTATAAAAATATCTAGTATGCAAAATTTGGATCCCTGCACCTGCAATAAGTTTTGCATGTGGTGCTTTAGTGCAATTATAAAGGTAAAAGAGCAAATTGGTTCAGAAAATATAGGTCGAGTAACGTATCCTAAATTTATTTCTTGCGAGAAATTCTTTAATGAACCAAATGCATCATATCATCTATAGTCCATTCAATAAAACATGACATTCAAATGATATTAAATATAAATTAATTTTGACATTAATGATAGTAGAGAGAAAAGATAAGAAATTAAATAGGTGTTCTATTATAAAAATAAATTTATTAAAAATAATAACATACAAGATTATGTTAAATAAGCATGACATTCAGATGATATTAAATATAAATTAATTTTGACATTAATGATAGTAGAGAGAAAAGACAAGAAATTAAATAGGTATTCTATTATAAAAATAAATTTATTAAAAATAATGACATACAAGATCATATTTGATTGAATTGGGGGAATTTTATTGGATGGATCATGAATGATGTGAAATACTCAGTCCATATGAGAGTTTCTCTTATTTTTGGTAAAAATAATGTTCCCCTCTATTTTTAAAAATAGTACAATATGTTGAATCTTAATTTTGATGATTACAAAATAAAGAAGTGTTTATTTTACAAAGATTTTAATTAAAGAAATTAAGAGTATATGCTTAATCTTTGACTCCCTATTCTTTTATGTTATTTTACTAGTGTTCTAAGTTTCTTTGTGTAACAACCCAAGTATTTAAGTAAAATCAAATATATAAGTTTGCGTCTTAATAGTAATTCTACTAATCGTTGGAATATTTATGACCAGAAGGGCTGTTAGTGTGGTCGAAGATGGTAAAAATCTTAGGCATTAGGTCTCATGTTCGAATCTGATGAAGGCAAGGGAACTTCATTTTCTTGATTTTTGTTTATGAAATTACTGAATTGCCCTTCTTCAATCTGATAAAAATTTGCACCCTCTTCTTTGATTTTTCTAGAGATCTGAGAGAAAGGAGAGAAGCTTTGACCTAGCCATTCTTCGATCCTTCTGTTGCACCTTCACTTTTGTCCCCTTTGTGGCCAACCATCGCCGACGTGGGTGCTACTGCTCTGTCAGTAACTGATCAGTTAGCTCGTGGCTTCAGTTTTTCGTTTCCTTTCCTTGTTCCAAATTGGTCAGGTTTCTTCCTCTTTGTTGTTGGTGAGGGTGTATAGACGAACTAAGATTTCTTCTTTCCCCTTGCTTGTTTTGTTAATATTGGTCTGCTCATCTTTCTTTCATTCATGGTGATCATCCCTTTTTTCTTCACTATTCAAGCACATCATTGTCTACTTCTTTTTGTATTTGGGCGTCGTGAGTCATTTAAGGTGGAAGCCTTGATCTTTTCTCCTATTATGTGAAGAATCTATGCTGTGGAAGTAGATTAGTGGCAGTGAGATGTTCATTTTGTTGGCCATCATTTTTCCCCTACACCCATTGTCTTCTTTTCTCCTTGTGTATGCCAATGTTAATGGAGGTAAAGAAGTCTTGAGCCACTTATTTCTCATAGTTTCTATGCGTGAATCATTGAATGGATGATTGAAGTTTTTTTTTTAAAAATTGTCTCCTTGGTTGTTGCTGTTGCTTGTACTATTATAAGAAGGAGATGACACAAATTTGAGCTGGAAATTTATTTTAAAGCTTGGTAATAATATACATATGGGTTATAACTTTGGAGTTAAATAAATTTTATTTGGATTGGTTGATGTTGAAAAATTTATTAGGGTGAAATTGGGAGAGAATAACTTAGATATAAAACTTAAATATTGGTGCCTATGAGTTGTTTGTTGAAATGCTTGTTAGAAAAATTGAACTTGATTTTTAAATTTCATTCATCCTTGTGAGTGATATATTCAAGTTGAGTACTATTGCTCTATGAATTTAAGTTGAAGATTGCAAAAGAAATTTGAGAATGAAATTAGTATCAAACTATTTGAATTATTGGGAAATTGATGGTATTATGATGGAGTATTGAGCTATGGTTTCTGAGGGACTTTTATGCGCAAATTTTTGCTCTTAAAAATTTCAAATTTACTTTAGTTAAATTTTGGTGGAAGTAATGTTGGGAGGAAAATAATTGAAATTATAGAAAGTTTATTTAAAAAGATCTTAATTTAATTCATAGGGTATTTGGAGGAGGGGAATTTAGCTGTCATTAAAAGGTGAATTCTTGAATTCTAAACATTTCAGGTAAGCAAATAACATCTCATTTAATTATTCATTAATAGTCTTTTACTAAAATATTTTATTTTTATGAATTTTTTTAGTTTTGGAAATTATGAAATAATTATGAAGGATGATTAAATTATATTATGTACATTTATTTTTCCTCAAGAAATGTATTTCTAATATTGATGAAAGTATTTTTGTTTATTGAACTTCAGAATTTCTTGGCTACACAATTAATGCAAGATTGCTGATTAGCTCTTAAGTATTAATTTTGCTAGTTTTGATATTTGAAACAATTTATGTGAGTTTGATATTGAGAATAAAAATTTTATTTTAGAAATAATTATTTCTTTCGCATGTTTGAAACATAATTTTTAAGAGGATTTTATACAGAATACTGGTTGCTATAGGCATTTCTGTTAGCCCTCAGCGCCTTGGTTAAGGACTAACTAGTTTGAATTTTGTGAGCCTTATTCTCATGTTTGTTGTTTGTTGGTATTGTACCTGCATTTGATTTCATGGTTTCATCGTGTTCGGTTAGCATTATCCTCGTGAACTACGTGTCTATGTTTGTTTCATAGCTCAAGCTACGTTTGGTTGCTTACCCTCATGTACTGTGTGTCTACGTTTATTTTTGTGGCATAAACCGCCTTTGGTTATTTACCTTTGTGGACTGTGTGTCCATGTTTGTTACCTGTTTTGTTAAGTCTTCAAAAATTTGAATTTTGATTAACTCACTTATTCAAAATTTCAATGGTTTCAATTAACAAGTATACTATTTTGATTTGTGTATAAGTAATATGTTTTCTTTAACCAGGATAAAATAAAGTGTTTTCAATTTATTATCAGTTTATAGCTATGATTATGATTTATAGATTTATGAAGTTATTTATGTTGAATTTTCATAATTTCAATTATCTTACATGATTATTTGAGTTTATTATTTTAATTCTCATAAATTCTATCTTGGGGATGCTATTCACTAAAAAATTTATTTTGGTCTTAGATTCATTAGCTGATGCTGATCTTACCACCGACCTCTAAAGGGCAATACAATTATACTTGGTGAAAATTTTGTTTGGTATTTTTATCTTTTGATGTAAATACTTTAAGACTCATGTATTTTAATTTAGAAGAAAGATTAGTTACTCCACATAGATTGTTGTTAGGACTTTATTTTGATTTATATACTTTTTGTTGGCTTGAAGGAGCTAAACTCTTGATTGATACTTTATTCTATAAATTTTTTGTGCTACACAATTTTCAGGAGACCCTATTTATAGGGGAGGTTTTGTCAAAATTTTTACAAAAACGTTGAAACTTTGTTATGACAATTAGTATTAAAAATTGTTAGAATTTTCATATAATCTGATTTATTTATTTATTTATTTTAAAAATGGAATTAATTTTTATTTTGAGGCTTACGGGTATAGATGAGGTGGTTCCCACTCGTACCGGTCACCCTCTACTTTTGGGGCGTGACACTTTGTTTCATTAAGGGATAGATATTTGATTGATATCTAATTGTCTAATTAAATCTATCTTGGGTTTTGGGAGTTTGTAGCTAGAATTTAAAATTCCATTCAATTTGTGTCAATGCTAAGGCTTATGTTGAAATTCTAAGTTACTTATATCAGTACAATGTTGTTATACTAGCATAGTCATTCTATATCCAAATAAGTCTCTCCTTTGTTCATTCCCTTATATTGGTACAACTTGTGTCACACCTTGATACTAAGGGTTTGATCAGCATAGAATATGAGATTAACTCTAATCCTATAAGCCTTAATTAACCTAAGATTTAGCTAAAATATCAATAAATAATTCAAATATAATTAATAAGTTTGTAAAGTCTTAAATATTTTATAAAAAATTTGGCAGAGTCTCACTTGTAATTTAAACCTCGTGAAATTTTTACATTAGTGTAACTTGTCGGCCAATCTAGCAAAGGAAACTAACTCCACACTAGCAAATTACTTACCAATAAAATAAAATTAGGACTTAACTAAGGTAAACATGGAGCAATAAATTATACATAATACCATTG